ACAAGAGAGGCACAGAAAACATTTAGCTTGGTGATGGATCAGATGCAGGGGCAGGCAGCCTGTCTCTTTAAATATGTAACCTTCAAGTGCGGAAACCTTTCGTGTAGAAGCCTGAAACATGTCCTGGCTTTATTATAAAGGCTGATAAAGGTCTCCACACGGTTTTTGTAACTGCTCTGTCCTTGGCAAGTCAGGACATAGGAGGGTGCCAAATCTTGGGCTTGTTTTTTTTTTTGCATTGATACYTCAAGCAGCGCCAGGCAGTTTGGCGAAGAGAGCAGAGCGTCGCTGTAACCCACAATCAATTATTAAATGTGAGGAATGAAGTACAAAGTGCTCCAGGGAAAATGCTGTAGTAGTTGGAATCCCTTACCTTGGCTGAAGAAGATGGCGGGAAAATAGAWTTTGTAGGGTTTTTTGGTTGTTGGTGGACTTTTTACATTTTGTATTAGGCTGTTTTTTGGGGGTGGTGTTGGTGGTGGTGTGTGTAATCTGACTCCTCCTTGCATTTATTTTTTTTTTTATTTTGGTATTCTTCCCGTCCCTGTCACCTCTTTCTGAGGCAAACAGCATTGCTGAGTGGCAGGTTAGAAGCTGCTACAGGCATTGCTGCTTCAGCCACGTATACAATGCAGAGAACAAGAAGTTTCTTGAGGTTTTACTGCTTGGTAGAGAGATTGAAGACAGAATTTGTACAGATCAACCTTAATTTTGAAGAAACTTTAGTGAGTTTCTAGGAGCGCTGTTGGAAGGGGAGCTCTGTGGTGGTTTCCTCTGAAAATGCCTTCTGGAGGTCAAATATTTAAGCATCCACCATTAGCATAGAACATTCTTGATTTTTAAGGCAAGGACGTGAGAGGCTGCCAACATTACAACTCAAATGTGGATGCCTTTCTTTATGAATAATTATGAATGGGGATAAGGGTAACACATAAACAAAAGCATTTAAATCTGGTGTTATTTCTTACCTCTGAGATCTGGTGCAGCTCWGTGGATTTCTTGAGGTTCTAAATCTGCTTTTCTTGGCTGATTTCTCTGTGGACTAACCCATTAACAAACAGTTGGCATGAATGGAGGGAGGAGAGCAGCAGCCTCCCTMTTATGTGCCATTTCTCAATTTAGAGCAGGGTAGTCCACCCTGCTTAGAACAAGTTGTTTTGGAGGCTCTTTGTCTAATTTGTCTAACAAACATTAAATTGGAGACATTTTTTATTTTAAAAAATACTGTAAAGTAGTTTAAAAGCAAAGTTGGGTCATTTTTTTTTCCATTTCTAAGTCTCCAGAGAAGTCTCTTAATCAATGCATAGGTAGTGCAAAATAATGCTTTAAAATCAGATAACACATAAGTAATACATGTGAACCAGAGTATTTGTTTGATCAATTTATAACAATYTGAAAAAAACAAAACCTGTTCAACAAAAGATGAGCTTGTCTTTTTTGCCTAAGGAGACAGATAAAATAATCAGTAAACATCTGGGAAGGTTATGGTCTCTGTGGGTTGATGGCAACAAAATCAAACTTGATTTTAATGTGATCAGTTGCTGYTTGTTATGCAATGGCCACCTGCATAAGAACTCATGCATGCAGTAACCAACATTTCCCAGGCATCTGTGCAAAGGATGTGTAATTTAAACTTATTTAATAAAGTGTTATCACTTGGTGATTAATTGTATCGACACATGACACATAACTAATAACTCCCAGTCTGTATTACACTGTGCTTATTAGAGTGCTAATGGATAACTGGCTTAATCATGTGTCAATTAAAAGGATGAGTCGGTTTCATTTATTGCAATTAGATGGTTTCCATAAACTGTTTGCAGGAAGTATCTGAATCKCATCGTGTTTTAGCTGTGTGTGGGCTCTGCTGCTGGCTCCACGTAATCTGGGGGTGAATCAGTTGGTGTAGGGGAGTTCTGCATCCACGTGTCCACTTYGGGGTTGTGTTGTGGTGCATGGCACTGAGCTTGGTCATGGGAGATCTGCCTGTGCATCACATGTGAAAATCAAGAAGCTTTAAAACTAACCATTTTCAAAACTCTCTGGATGAAGCTTGTGAAATAAAAAGTAAAATAAATTGCTTCCTTGGTTGGAAAACTGAGTTTCTGACAAATCTCCTGCTTACTCTATGGAGGTACATGATCAGGAAACCTAAACCAGCTTTTGTTCCTTCTCTTCTGTGCTTGAGGGGATGAGCAGACATGATGGGGAAGGGAGGATGGTGGGGCAGACTTAGAGCATGAGATACTGAAGTTTCAGTGTTTTCTATGTCTGATCATTGTCAGTCATGGTCAGTGGAAGGAACACAGGGGCGGGGAGACCACTGTGCACACAGGAGCAGCTTACAGCTCCCTGGGATAAAACAACAGGAAATCTGTCCATGTTCCTTCCCTGTGCTTGTGACAGAAGCATCTGGTTAGGCAGGCAGGTGTTATGCAGCAGCTTTTATCCCAGAMTAAGCATTATCTGAACTCACCTGCACTGATGGTGTGATGGTTTGGTGCCCATGTCCCTTTCCCAGTTAATAATGGATAGGAAAAGAGGAGATGGCCTCAAGCTGTGCCAGAGGAAGTTTAGATKGAGTATTAGGAAGAATTTCTTCACTGGAAGAGTTGTCAAGCGCTGGAACAGCCTGTCAGGGAGACAGTCGAGTCACCACCATCYCTGGAGGTATTTAAAATATGTGGATGTGGCAGCTGGGGACATGGTTTAGTGCTGGGCTTGGCAGTGTTGGGKTTATGGTTGGATTTGGTGATCTTGGASATCTCTTCCAAGCTAAACAATTCCATGAKTCTGTGRCAGTGGCTGCCAGAGCTGTCTGYGTTCWGAGCTCGCCTKCCTCTACACCATGTTAAATACTGAGCAGAATTGCAGAAGGARTAAAACCTGGSATCRTCTTTGYTCTTTGGGGAAGAATTTTGCAGAAAGCATTTTCKGGGACTGTTGTCTCGTTAAAAGACACAATACTTGAAGCTTTTGTTTGCAATTTTTGATCAATGGTTGAGCCCTGCAGGAAGCTGGAAGGACACTTGGTGCAAGTAGGTAAAATAATTGTGTGAGAAAGATGAGGYTCTTGGCAAGAGCTGTTTGAAATGCTCTGAAAATAATTTCTCCTTTTTCCCTCATTCTCCAACATTTTAGTGTATGGGAAGGTTCTTCTGAGATGGTTTCCAGCACACTTGGCTTTGGTAGGCGGAGAAACAGTTCAAAATGAAAGAAGGTGGGAGGAACTGCTGGGTTACCAATTTTGCAGCATTAGGTATCTGTAAAAATTGCCAGTAGCACACAAATGAGAATGCTGACAAGTGTGGTATGAAATTGGCCTTTTTCCAACATGAGGAGAATGAATCCTTCCTTGAAAGCAGCATTTGGGTGACTTTATTTTGCTCATATGTTACAGTGGTCTCCAGGGTGGGATGTGCAATGTTATTGGTGGGCAGGGTGGAAATACAAGCCCTTCAGTTAAGCAAATAGATAGTTCATAAATAAATAAGTAAACATATTGGGGGTGCATGTTCAGACATTCCTGGTAGGAATGCGTAATCAAAACAAGTGGAAGACCACTGATGTATAACTATGGTGCTCATGGAAATAAAGCATCTCCTCGGTTTGGAAATATGAAAGTGGTTCAGATGTGCAGCCAGAAAACAAGCTGCTGGATTTAGATGTGAGAATGCTTCACCCTTAATTGAAAAGGGAGTGTTTTTTACAAGTATCACAGTCAATGACTTGTCTTGAGCAGCTAATTAGTACGATTATTCCGCAGCTGCATTAGTTTCACCACAAAGGTTTTCTCTTGTTTTATCAAAAGGATCAGTGTCTCTGTGAATGTTTCAACATGACAGGTCTTAAATAGCAAGATGGTCYCCTGCCTCCCTGCCCCCAAAATGTGTGCTCTGGAAGAGCAGAGCTTGATCTCTTGGGGCAGTGAGTGTGGGTTCTCCTTTTTTTTGTTTTTGCCCTGAGCTGTGTTCAACATCAGTCCTAAACAAAGCCAGAAACCTTCCAGCAGTGCAGGCTCTGGTTGCCCGGGCACAAGCAGTGCTCAGTGCCTGCAGCTTCTGAGCAAACCTGGAAGGGATGGTGGCTCCCAGACCTCTGTGTCCTGCCAGCATCCTGCAGGTATCAGCACTGGAGCCCAAGGTGGGGGTTTCAGCAGCAGCCTCCTCCTAGAGCCAGGAGGGTTCCTGCTGGCTTCCCAAGGCATGGCCCGTGGGTTTTGGTTCTGAGGGCTGAGAAAAKGATKAGTTGCTYCACAAAGTGTCCCTGCAGTCCATGRCAAAGTCCCATGGTCTGTCCCAYGCTCTCTTGCTATTGGCTTTGAATTAGCTCCTAGGTGGTGATGCAGGGCTGTGTGCTGGCTGGAGCAGCCTGTTGCTCTTTGTAAAGTATGACTGAAATAAAGCTGTTACGATTGTTTATTTTCCCTGGTTTTGTATCTGTGCTTGGAAGATGCTGGTAGGCCTGGAGTTGTTTTTTTTTGGTGGAGGTCTGCTTTCTGACTCTGAAAAGTCACTGCCAGCAAGCCCAACTCCAAGGTGGTATTTAGCGGCAAATAAGTAAACTATGTTATGTTGTGTTTTAATGGAGAGGTAGATCTGCTTTATTTTGAGCTAGATCGTTGGACTGGAGTATTACCCATTCCAATCATTAGACTTGCCCTTTTTATTACTTTTTTCTTTTTTTTTTAAAGGAATATGAGTGCCTACTACTATCTATAAAAGCGTTTGTTTTTTTTCTGGTGGCGGTTGCTGTGAAATTTGAAAGAGCAAATGTCTTTTTACCGCTGGATGTTGGCGTTTGGGCATGGTTTGGCTGCAGCCAAGTTAAGGCAGCCTAAGGTGGCCGCTAAGTACCTGAAGTAGGTCGGCTGYGGGTTCCCCTCTCGCAGATCCTCACCCATCCCACCCCGCGTTCCCCGTAATTCCACCAGCCCCGGCCGCCGGAGCCGCCGTCCCGCTTGGTGCAAGCTGAGCTGTCTCTCTCTGGTCTTCCCACAGCAATTCCGAGCATCCTGGCGCTTCCAAGCCTCCCTTAAGCTCCTCCAGCATGACCTCACGAATCCTGCTCCGACAGCAGCTCATGCGTGAGCAGATGCAGGAGCAGGAGCGTCGGGAGCAGCAGCAGAAGCAGCAGGCAGCCCAGTTCATGCAGCAGCGAGTGCCCGTGAGCCAGACACCTGCCATCAACGTCAGCGTGCCCACCAGCCTGCCCCCCGCCACCCAGGTGCCCATGGAGGTCCTCAAGGTACGCACCTTTCCGCTCACAAACTCCTCAAAACCCGCTTTGTTTAACAGGGACGTGGTTCTAGGCATTTTCACCAAGAAAGTTTTACAAATAAGATGCGCTCTGACTTGGTTTGCAGCTTGTTTTGGTGTCTTGGTAGGGAAGAATGGAAAAACTTTTAAAAAAAAAAAAGTTTGTGTAACTTTTGTTTTCTTTCAACTTGGAGATTTCCGGAGGGAGGTTTTGTAACAAAACTAAAGATTCCGTCATTTTCCCTTGGAAAGCGCTTCTCTACCTTTCTAGTACTTAATTACTTTCAAAATGAAGAAATTATTCGTAGATAACAAATCAATGTTTTGGTTTTTAAAGGAAAACAATGAAATAGTTTTGTAAGATGGAGTCAAAACTCTTTACAAAAGAGCTCSTCAGAAAGCCTTAATCTGAAATATGGGTGAGTTTCCAGCTTCTTGCAACGAGTTGTTGTAATCCTTTTTTTGTTTAAATGACTTGTTTGCTATTAGTAGCTTTGGATTCCTTGTCCCACTGGAAACTGTAGGAGCTTGTTAGTGTCCCTCTGTCAAAGGGGATGTAGCTTGCTAATTACTCAGAGAAAAACGTGAACAGCTATAAGAAAAGAGATAATTTCACGCACTGCTAGAATTCAAGTAGGCTGAAGCAACGTGAAATGTGTGAATAAAACAATGTCAAATGTTTTGGAGCAGTTTGCTGACATATTTCATGAAAATACAATTTTCACAGGTTTTGAAGAGTTTGCTCTGCGTTATTGCTGGATCTTTTCAGTRCTGTTTGTTGTTTAGTCAGTGAGCATATTCTCACCACGTAAGTTAGTTGAGCTTGGTTGCAAACCTCTTATGTTTTGCAATGATTTGTAGTCAGTTTTAAAATAGACTTGCAGGCTCAGGATTGCAAGGCAGTCTCTGTGACTGGTTTATGAAGAAAATACAGCGTTATTTTATTTATTGAATTTGCATTATGATGTTTTGTTGTCAGCACTGATGGGGATAGTAGACACAGTCCAAGATGTGATCTAAGAACAAAACAGCAACAGTTGAATTTTGAATTCTCTCTCTATACATAAACACACAATTCCATTAAAAGTTAAATAGAATGTTTTTTGAGCATGTGAGCATGTGTACTATAGCAAGGAGTCTGAAATTGTCTGAGAAGAGCTGTTTTGTCTAACATTTGTGTRTTACTMACAAWGTTTGTGTATGACAATTTCTTAAAYTTGTKTCCAGGTTATKCCTGTAGTTATAATTCAGGTCCAGCAGATGTGTAGGTGCTATGAARTAGTTTTTTGTTTGTAATGTACCTATCTAAACAAGCATGTTAGATTTTTTTACATCCTTTTATCCGAATCTGTTGCAACATGAATTGTAGGGTATTTTTTAAACCTCTGGGAAAACTTGTAGGAAAGCCTTTATTTTTTKATGATATTTTACTGATAAGGAAAGAGTGTATCATCTTGAAGAATCATTAGCAGTTGTTAATTTTGSAAATGCCTCTTTCTGTGGGAGAGGATGGAAGGCAGCCCTTGATTTCTGAGGGACAAACTTCAGAAATCGCTGCAGCCAAAAGGTGATGCTCAATTATTGCAAATGGGGTTCCTGGGAGCTGGCTCGTCACAGGGTCTGTGTGCAAAGCTGTAATCTGCTGGGGCATTGTAGGGAACTTCACAGCAAGGACTTGAACCTGAACCCTCATCCTTCAGGATTCTAAAAGTGCTATTTGTCCCCYGTTTCCTTCTGGTGAAGAAGGATCTTCTGGAAAGAGGTAGGACACCTCTTCTCTTTAGCCCAAATAAGAGTGTGTGGCCCTGTAGAGTAAAAAATTAAAGAGAATGTGTCCTTAAGCAGGTTGTAAAATAAAAATAATTACTGGCAACAGGTACCTTTTGGCAATGGAATGGCATTTTGAAGGTGRTACTTTTGGAAATACCAGCAACCTGCTGGACCAAAATCATATCTGTCTTCTCATCACCTACACTTACATAAGTAACAGTCAGAATTAACAAAAACAAGTCCACTTGTTCTCTGTGAGAGGAGACAGACCGCTTTGCATAGTTTTGCTGCTTGTGTTTTTGGTGAAAGAAAGCAGTGAAAGATTCACCCTTTTATCCTTATTCATAACAGTGCACCAATGCTATACAAAAAAAAATTAGTACAGAATGTCAGGTTTGAAGTCGTGATCTTCCTGAAAATTACCACTGATGCTTCAGTGACAGTAGGAATTGGCTGAAAGATCTACATAATTTTCTTTGTGGTTTTGACGGGGTTTGTTTTGGGGTTTGTTTGGGTTTTGTTTGGTTTTTTTATTTTATTATTTTTTATTTTTCCAAATAGGATATTTGGCTCAAAAGCTGAGATTAACAATAACTCAGGATCTTCCTGGTGCCAGTGTGCTGACAGCCAGCTCTGCCTGCAGTGACATCATTTCCCTGCAGCTGCTTTTTACACTTCAGTTGTTTTTTAGCTGTAGACAAGTTTTCCATATGAGCTGTACAGAAGTTTTAATAGATAAATAGGGARCTAAGTTGTTAACTTTGTTATCCAGATGGTCTGGATTTAGTGGCCTTAAAGAGTGAGAGACAAAAAGTGGATTTTTACACTTTCGGAAGCATTAATYTGCAAGGCAACTTGGTTTAAAAGTGATCTTTTTCAATGTTACTTCACAAACAAGACCAAATCTAGCAGCTGKTTTTGTTGTTGTTTTTGTTTGTTTGTTTGGGTRCTTTGCATARAAAAAAATCCCACTCTAAGCCTGTTGAATTTGTCAGTGTTTTGTGGTTTTAATTATGTTGTGGGACTTGCCCTTTCACCCATATCTCAGAGTGTGAGAAGGAGAATAATACTTGCATATCTGAGGATGGTAATTCAGAATGACTGGTTTAAAAAGAAGCCAAAGGTGTTAATGAGCTTGGATTTTATATTTGTTTCAAGATRTCTATTTAGAAACAATGCAGAAAGAGAAATATGTGCTAATCTATGTCACATTGCATAGGAATCTCCGAATTGCATAACATAGTATGCTCAAGGCCATGTGAATAAATGGGATTTCATTTTCTTGAGTAATGAATTCTCATTGCATCATTTCTCTGCCAAGTAATGTAGCTTGGCAAGGTAGGAGATGACCTGCTGGAATTCAGATTTTGCATTGCTTTGTGCTGCCTAATTAAGAGATGGATGGAGAGTAGGTTTGATGCTTTTGGAACAGTATCTCTTCAAATCTAATAGCAAAAGAAAGATTTGCTACAGCTTTTGGTTATCCTTCTGCAGAGCTGGTATTGGCTTTGTGGGCTGGTTTGTGTTTGAGGACTTTCTCACCCCTCTCCACCACTACAAAGAGATRTCACCAGGAATTCTTTGCTTCTGCTGCAATTCACCTTCTTTCTCTGCCTTAGAAATAGGAATATAACATAAAAAGTTATTTATTGGAGTAGTTTCAAGCCCTAAAAACCAGGACCCATTCCTGAGGTACAAAGTAAGCTTATGGTTTTTCAAATTTTATTTATTTTTTTTTAAAGGGTTAACATCTTTGCAAAGAGTTATCTTAAGATGTCCTCATACTTCTTCCATTCAGGTGTATTTTAGTTCTGTATACCTGATCAATATGAAGGAGCTGTTCTTTTTGTTGGTGGTGGTTGAAGCTATTCTCTAGTCTGATGGGAGTTCTTACCTGTTGGAGCAGAAGCTCCACATCAAATGTCAGTTTTGGAATTGCAGAGCTGGTCTCTGGGAATGGGTTCCTGCATTTCTGTGGTCAGGGTTAGCCCAGGACTCGAGGAGGTCATGCCCAGGTCCCTKCTTGCAGTCCCCAAGGCCTGGTGATGGCTTGGACCTGGTGCTCCTCAGTCATCCCTGTGCAAAACAATCCCATGCTTTGTGGAGATGAATTTGTTTAAGGTATTGAAATCCTTGGCTTTTAGAGAATATTGTAATTTGTTTGTTTTTTGAGAATATCGCTTTGGTCTGTTAATCAGCTTCCCCAGAGGTGTCTCAGACTTCATCTCTTCCTGTTTTCCTCCTGGAGATCACTGAATTAGTGCTTCTCCTGCAGTCCCTGCAGCTGTGTGTTAGCAATTATTTAGGGAGTATCTCCTGCTGGTGTGATGGAGTTGCTGGGTTCTGCTGTTGATGTTGTTCATGCCCTCCCCCTTGCCCACTCCCTGCTCCTTTYCTACCAAACAATGTTCAGGATTCTTGTAAGATGAGTGATCTCCCACCTCCCGAGTTCCTGGCAGCAGTGGGACAACTCCCTGCCTTTGGGATAGGTTGTGATACACTGGCCTCATCTGTAGGACAGTTTCCAGTCTCCTGTGTCAATCCAGGTAGCTGATTTTAGAATTTTATTGTTCAGCAGACTGAAATGCTGACTTGTATGACCAGAGTTTTGCATCCTGTCCCTCTGGCATCTTCACCACAGTTGCACTGTGGCAGCTTTGGAGCTCACCACCCTCTACAGGCGTTCAAGAGACACAAAAGGAAAAGGGGTTTCCTTTGTCTGAAACATCTGAAACACCCAGGAGTAAACCAGGGAATGACTCCACAGGCTGAAATGTCCATCCATTAGGACTTATTTCCACAAGACTGCAGGATACTCTTTTTTTGGGTTTATGTTTGAGAAGTTCTGCTGATAGAAGTAGAACCAAGTTGTTGATTAAGGCTTTCCTTTGAAGGTTCCTCTTTTCTGTTTCTTTTGGTAAGTCCACTTGTCTCATGTACAGAATTTTCAGTGATCCAGAAGGTGAACTGCAGAAGTTCAGAGGAATAGGGACTCATCTTTTTTGATGTAGAGGAATAGGGACTCTTTTTTAATGTAGAGACATTAAAAAAAACCAAACTGAATTGTAGCTATGCTGTATTTGCTTTGCTTGATTTCTGGATCAGGTTTAGTATATAGAACAAGTATGTCACAATCCCCTAAGTCCTTTGGACCCGCCTGCTCCCAAAAAAATGTGGCATTGCAGGAATTGTGGCTGGTTTGTGTCCTCCATGGGAGAA